ATTTTGCTTCCAGGCAGCACACAAAGAAAGCAATGGAGAGATAGCTCTGTAGTCAAGAACACAAAATAGGCGGCACTTTTTGATCTCTGTCCTTCTTGTCCTTCCCTCTCTCTGTTTTATCTTCCTCCCCAGAGTTCAGTAGTGTGTTTTTTTTAAATTCTCAGTAGCATTGGCATCTGTCTCTTGAAGCTCTGTAAAGCTCTGTGTCCTCAGTTCAGAAGAGTAATCTGATAACAAATCATAACCATCATGCCAGCCAGGACAACTCTGAAGAGTAGGGAGCAGAGTCATGAATGTTGGTGCTAGAGCCCTGCCTCTTTGGCCTCCAAAGCAGTCATTTTCTAACATCATTCTCACTTTCCTTGCTATTTCCAATGGCCACCTCCTCAGTTTTCACTGGGCTCCCACAATCATTCTGTCTGTTTTTGTTTTGAGTTTCTTCTAGATACTGCTGGACCGCCTTGAGGACTGCATTCTCCACCAGCCTTTTGCTTAGGCTCAGCAATTCTGCATCATCTGGCTCTGCCCCCTTTTTTTCACCTGTACACCACAACAGACAAAAATCAGTAAACCTGAGCAGGGAAAACTGCATGCAAAACACACTTCTGGGAAAAAGCTCCTCAGGCCATGGAATACACACTCATGGGGGTGTTCTTGCTTCCTTTGGTTCCAGACCCTCTGCAAACCCTTCAGAAGGAAGCAGAAGAGCCTGCTACTATAGACAGTAAGGAAGATGACCTTGACAGAGATAGGCCAGATCTATTACCAAAGTGAAAAGGGCAAAAACATGGCTTAAGTCTAACACAAGAAAAAGGTATGCATAAGCAACTCAGACAGACACCTGCCTAATTCACACAAGTAGGCTGGTGGGAGCGGGGGGAGGGGGGGATAAAGCACAAACTTGCAAGATTCTGCTACTATAGCCAATAATAAAAGCAGTTTGAGCCTTCTTGTAGAGTTGATTTTTTGGTTTGATCTACATAGTGGGGCTGACAGCTACAAATTCTTCCTCAGTTCTTTGCCTGAATCTTAAACCACCCTACCTTGCTTTCTCTTCTTCCATGAATTCTGGCTATTCTATTTACCTATTTTGCACTTAAGAATATTCATGATCCAACAACTACCAAAAGTCTCAGCTTATGCTTTGAAAATCATCTTATTACAAGAACTTAAAATATAAAACTTGGTGCAATTTAGGACTAATCTGTGTTATAGTCTTGTCAAAGTTGCGAAATTGTGAAAGCCTGATGAGAGTCTATTGGAAGGCCATCTAAGAAGTAATAACCAAAAATATAATAAATACCTTTAAAAAGGAATGAAATTCTATAGAGCTTATCCTCCAGAAAAATCCTTTATTTTCTAGTTGTGCAATGTTTACCCAAATAATTTGTAAATTGAAATGGCAAGTCAAAGTTACACAAAATTCCTAACTTGAAATCTTATTTGTTTCATATTTAAGTCCAATGTACTTTATAAGGCATTTCCACACCTATGTTTTACACCACTCTTGGACTGGCTCCATACCTCACTGATCATAAAAGTTGGAAATTGGAGCAAGACTAGTATTTTTCTTTGAATCACTGCAATTCTGCAAACATTGTCAGTTTTCCTACTGGTGAGAAATCTTTCCTCACCCCTCCTATTGCTCTTGGGTTCAAGCTACCTATTACTCTCCTCCCATAGAGATTCAGGTTCCTAAAACCTAATTCTTCCTTTTCTTCCTCCTTTTTCACCTTATCCAGCCAACATGCAATTGTGGTCCAAGTATTGGGAAAAGCATCAGAAAAAGTGATGACTTGCTATTCTTTCACCCACATAACTCACAGAGGTTTTAAATGCAAATAACATGCTAGAAAGCCACTGAAAGATTGCAGTGCCTTTTTTGATTATAGCTTCCCATTACTGCTATTTCTCAAATTCTTTTGAAAAATGCCAAATGAATTTATACAAAGAGATGTACAAAAAACATGGTGTTAACAATTTATTTTATTTTGTGGAGTGAGCATGAGAGGATATTTGTTAAATGGTGGTAGATCTGGGGACAGAACATAGATTGGGTGATGTATGCTTATTGGTTAGCTGGAGGAGAGGGTGGTAAGTCCTGACTGACTCATGGTGTTCTTGGTTTTTCAAGGTTAGTAGAAATATACAGTAGGCCAACCTGAAACTGCTTTGTGAGGAACAGTGAAATGGAAATGCTGGCAATGTGGAAGTGCTTTTTAAAAAAATGAATATATAATATGCCCTAGCTGCTTAATCATATATTTTCCTACCAAAGTGTAGTTTATAAATCTACAACCTGATTGAATGCAGTCAATTTATATTTTGCTATGAAACTAACACTATTGTTAAACTTTCATTTTTAAAGCAAAACTGCTTTTTTGCTCCTGAGCAACTCATTACTAATGGACTGAAAATGTTACTTGCATCTAAAACCAAGTCTGAGAAATAGTGGGCAAGGTGTGATGGACTGGAATTATGGAGGCCAGAATCGGGGAGTGAAGAATCCTCTTTCATCTCCCAAAGGGCAGGGAAGAGATGAGACTGGCACCTCCCTGAGGAATGCAGGCTGTGTTTACTGACTGACCCTGGGAACTGGTTCCAG